ACAATTGTGATTATAGAGTTCTAGTAGTTATCCTAGTATGCATATCGTAGTTCTAGTAGTTATCTTAGTATGTATATTGTAGTTCTAGTAGTTATCCTAGTATGTCTATTGTAGGCGATGTGACAACGATTTATTTGGCTCATTTACCGCTTGTAGGCTTACATTTTATCTTTAGAAGTATCAGATTTATTTAAGCGAAATTATTGACAGTTATACTCGTATGACTTATGTTTGGCGTCAGTGCATCTCGCCCCCCCCCCCCTGATGATTATGAAATATTTACCATCATTACTGTCATATTTTCCGAGGATGACTAAAGCTTTTGAGATCCAGCAGTGTGAAGTGTTCCGTAAACAACCACAGAAGGTTTATAACATCTTCAGTGTATTCTTTATCAGCTTCTTACTGGGGATAATAAAAAGAAATGTAAATAAACACCAAGTGATCCAACAACTAATCTGGGCATGTAAAAACTGGTAAACAGAGTTAACCTGACACAAGCTAAGAGTTTATTGTTATCAACAGACTTAACAATGAAAACTTAATCTGTGCAATCTGGAAATGAATACACAAAAGACATCATTTACATTAAGCAGCAATCAACAATTACCCGTGGAATCCTTCTTGAACCTTAATTGGTGCACCATATAGTATGAAAGTGAAGACGTAGTCAAAACTACTGGATATATTATTTTTCAGAAGCGACAGGTAAAAGCAGCTGCGACTCGACAGAATGAATTACAGGCAGTCTTAGAAAAGCAGAGAGCCACGACTGCTGAGCTGAATGCTGAACTACAAGCACTTCGAGGTTGGACTAAATTACATATTTTCAATAACCTTTGTTTTTTAGTATTTCATATTCATGTGATTTCGGGGTATCAACAGTTATTGCTATTTGTATATATGGTTTCAGTGATTATGGTATATATTGCTCACATACAGTTTACATTTAGAAATAAAATGTAAATATTATGTAATCATACTTAGTACGATTTAGAATTTGGAAGCTTGAACTGTTTAGAAAAAATAAAGTTAACCATCCTCAAAAATGTTCTTCCAGGCAAAGACTTAGAAGAAAAGGAGCGTGAGAAGTTCCATTTGGAGACTGTAAAGGAACTCAACCAACAGCTGAAAGCCTGCAAGTCTCAGCTCGATTCCATTCGCGCCCTCACTGTTTCCACCCAAGAGCAGATAACGCACATAGTGTAAGTTCCTCGTTTCTTCTCGTATTTTACAGTTTCTTTCATTCTTTGGGCCACGTGTTGCGCTCGGCATAAATGAATAAACAACAGATAATGATAGTGGTTCGTAAACGGTGCCGGGAGGGGGAGGGGATGGAATTTCCAGAAAGCCCGAGTTGTCATTAATGAAAGTACATCTCAACCAGCATGGCCACTTCACCTTGCCAAGGAGAACGTTGCATCCAACAGATCAGTACCGTCTTGTATTACATGTCGGGTAACTTATCATCACCTTGCACAGAGGGCATGAAAGGTACCAAGGGAACTGCAGGGTAAAATATGAATAATATACACCGTATTAGTCATTACATTGTCTAATGCAGGGGGCAGTACCCCATGCGACCCCCCTCCTTTTATGGGGCTTAGACCTCGGAGCGTACGACCGGCATGCGGGAGCGCCCGACACCGAGTTTGTCTCATGCTCTCTCTTGCCGTGAATATGCGAAGGATTCTGCTTTCTCGGGCGATGTCTTGGGGGGCGATAGCACTCCATTTAGGGTCGCAGGGGGCACAGCCCCCTACATTAGATAATGTAATGACTAATTCTGTGTATATTCATATTTTACCCCGCAGTTTCCCTGGTACCTTTTATGCCCTCCTCTGCTATTGGGTCCAAGAATAAGGGGGTTCTGTGGCACAATTCCTATATACATGTGTACTAGAGGGTGAGAGGAGTCCACCGATACCAAAGTCGTCGCGACTTTAGTAATTTTATTGAGTAAAATTACTAAAAATGTCTTACTCTCACTCGTTATACATGCCATTTGGTAATTCAGATGCGAACAAGATAGATTGAATAAAGGTATTTCCGCTGATCGAATGGCCTGCTCACTTTCAAGTGCAAAATATCATATTTATCCATCATACCCATTTTTTCTCAGATCCTAGTATTCTTATAATTCGATTGTATTACGAATAAAGTCTGCGGAAGATTTCCCAGAATTCAAATGGTGGCAATTTTTTTGTCGGTGAATCTATTTAACATTTCCGAAGGATTATGGAGATCTACCAAAGCATCATTACCAAATATCAGGTGTCCGCGTTAAACTATGCAGGCAGTATGAGCCTTCAATGAATTTGAGACTCCTTGTCTTTCAAGCTATTGTATTTTTGTGAATAAAACAAATAATGGTAATAATTAGACTTGTAACATATCCATTGCAGTGCTGAATACGAGTGCAAGAGCAGAGATCTCGTCAGAAGGTTCCAGTCTTTGCAGCTTTTGGATAAGGTAGGAAAAACATGAAGATAGATAAAAATAACGAGTGATGAACAAGTACGATGATGGAGGCCGATCAACGAGGGTTGGCATTGTTTATAATCTAGAATCGAATCTAGGGTTTATAAAATTGAGGGAATTACAGTTGATTAATGTTTTCTTTTTTCATTTTTACACTACATAAATTCCTCCAAATGATTCAGAATTCTATTGTTCTTATATATCCCCGGCAACATTCCGATTACATTTGGAAAAATTAATTCCTATCCTTTCGTGTTGCGTAAGTGTTAATCCAGTATAATATATAGTATTATAGGTGTCCGTAAGTTCTCTTGACTTTCATTGTCACAGGGTAATAAGAACCAATATAATCAGGGCTTCAGTTTGTTCATTTTTACTTGATGTTTTCATTTTTCTCGCCTGTTCTGTTTGCTGATTTTGTGAATTGGTTATCTTATATCAGTTGATGAATAATAATTACTTTGAATGATACTTCATCTTGCAATTGAACATCTCTGAGACACTTGGTAATACTTTTCCGATCTCGTCGTACTGCGTGATAAAAGGTATATAGACTTTCATCTCCAAATCAACGGCTGGATTTTAGTAACAGTTTTCAATATATTGTAAAATTTCGCTATCATCAAACATTTAATATCTTTTACTCTTTTTTGAAACTAGGATGAGGAAGCGCCCGCTGAGATTCTGACGGAGGAACACGCGAAAGAACTACTAGAGGAAGTAACAAAGCTGGACACATATGCTGAAAACCTATCACGTGCTCCTGGCTTGGGCCTTCCTCTTGATTATTTGCCTGACTTGCTGTAAGCTATACCTTCGGTAATTTCTACGAAATTTGAAAATTGAAGTATCCATGTATAATGCAAGAAAAATGTGTTTGTAGGCGTATGCCCACGCGCGTGTTGATTAGTCCTGTAAATGATGGATATAATCTTCAATGTCATGTATATAATTGCAGACGTGAAGTGAACGTGAAGATCGGACACACCGAGGAAGAGAATAAATCCTTGAAAGAAGACTTGCTAGGTCATCAGCAAACTTTTCAGAAGTTACAAGATGCCTAGTTCAAGTCATATAGTGAATGGCTTCAGTTATCTCGCCTGTAGTAGAAAGGAGACCCCTTTTGTTTTCTTTAAAACCGTTATATTAAAGATGATGTTTATTGTTTCATATGAAAGGTTTACTCTTTAATTTCTCATAATTTGTATGTTGAAATCTAATAGAAAAATAGATATTCATCACAGTTTTTTGAGTATGTTAACACACAGAGCAGGCTTATAGTTACGGTTAAATAACTGTGAGATGGTCCTTTATACAAGGCATTTTTGTTTTTCGAAAAAAATGTGATTTATATTATATATCGGTGAACGGAGATTCTGTGCCTGTAGCTATACGTAGATTACAATGCACAATTTGTTAGAGAGTCCTAAGTACTAGCATTTTATTTTCATAGATATTGTTTTTTTGACAAAACATTTTTGTAAGTGGACAAGTAATCCACACTAAGTGTAGGTTAATGCTTTGAGTGGTTCAAGTTGCAAAATAAAGTATATAAGTCCAGTTCTACATGTTTGAATGACTGCCCTCGTTAGTGGTTATACATTAAATCTAGTGGCTGGTGTTTACAGTTTAATCAGAAAAGTTTTTTACAGTTCGAAGTTTAACTTTGGGTCCTGAACTGTGCAAGGCAGGCCTTAGGTAAGGTTCTCGGAGTCCTCTGCTTCCTTAAGGCCCACCATGTTCCTATCCTCTACTTCTCTTGGAATCATGTATTCCGGCCATTGGAGGAGAGTGAGAGGGGTCAATGCCTACTCTGTCGTTTCTGATGGCCGACCATCCTTACCGTATCCCTGACAAGGACACGCGCACGCACACACGCACGCACACAGACACACACAGACACACACACACACACACACACACACACACACACACACACACACACACACACACACACACACACACACACACACACACACACACACACACACACACACACACACACACACACCACAATAAAAAAGGAAAAAAAAAGTTTCTGTCTGTCTCTGTCTCACGCTCTCTCTCTCTCTCTCTCTCTCTCTCTCTCTCTCTCTCTCTCTCTCTCTCTCTCTCTCTCTCTCTCTCTCTCTCTCTCTCTCTCTCTCTCTCTCTCTCTCCATTGGAGGGGAGGGAGAGGGGTTGATGCCTACTCTGCCGTTTCTGAAGGCAGACCATCCTCACAGTATCCCTGACAGGGAGTATAACACGCACACACTTGTGCGTGTATTTTTTGTATGTGTATTCAACTAGTGCTCACGATACTTATTAGCAAGTGTTGTGTTTACGGTTCATGGTTAAGACTACTACTAATAAGCAATATTTACTACTTATCAGAAACAAAAATATGTATGAGAAATATATCAAGGAAATTAATTGATTTAATTATGAAGATGAAAATGGACCCTTATCCATTATACACCTACTTTTGTAAGTGTATAATATAACATAAGAAATTCACAATGTGACCCGTAGTTATCACGGACGGTGGAATCAGCTGTTCAGTGTAAACAACACCGCACGGAAGGGTCTGGACTTCTCAATTCTATTGGGTAAAATTCATTACGTTAATATTACAGTAACATTGTATTATGTGATAATTGTATACCGATATCAGTGTCTCAAAATTATTAACTGGATAATGATTCAATAGATATATTGCTGTTTTAATGTGAACTGAATATGAACGGTGCATCCAGCCGATTGAGACTCATTTACTTTTTGATGAGTTAAAGGAAAATGTTACAAATGTAAATGAGGAGAGCATTTTAAAAGATACGGGTTGATCTACTTTGCTACAATTATTTTTGTGGTTAAAGTTTACAAAAGGACCGCACCGACTAGGAGAAAATTGAAGATCATAGCGTTGTAGGCAATGAAAAACTACATTGACTGATATCAAAATTAATTTGCAGAAGCCTACCGATTCCAGTTAAACGACGAAAATAGATCGGGGTGAGTGCCGCGCTGCGGCTAAGTCCACTCGGCGTTGACGCGGCTAAGTCCACACGCGACCTATGTTTACTAAGTTCTCGCGCATTGTTAACCCCGACTGCTCGGCCACTGCGCACCTACGTCACATGACGTCACGACGAATCGTGTATTCCATTGTTTTTTTTTAGCTTTTCATACGTTTCTAATCTTAATATTTTTCTTGCATGAACATAAGATGTTACTTAAAATATTTTTTTCTATTTCATATTGACCTTGTTTCGTCAATTAAGGCCTGTGTTTATTTTTTTTAACAATGATTTCATTTCATACTTTGCGCGCGTAAACGAAGGATGGCTACTTTGACAGCCGGTCAGTTTCAAGTATGACTAACCGGTGTCAAGACTGCGAAAGTGGCTTTGGTGTCTTTTTCAAAAAAAATCCAGATGAACATCCCCGAGTCTAACAAGCGCCTGCACGAATTCCTCCTTGCCGTAGCTCGCCTGTAACTCCTCACCACGGTATGTAAAATGATTATGGCGAATCTAGTGTTCGAGAGGGGGTTCGTGGCGGATCCCCCTGCTGCTGAAGCACAGCGATCGGGAGGGGGTCCGGGGGCGGAGCCCCCGATAGGGAAATACGGCGATCGGGAGGGGGTCCGGGGGCGGAGCCCCCGATAGGAAAATACGGCGATCGGGAGGGGGTCCGGGGGCGGAGCCCCCGATAGGAAAATACGGCGATCGGGAGGGGGTCCGGGGGCGGAGCCCCCGATAGGGAATTACGGCGATCGGGAGGGGGTCCGGGGGCGGAGCCCCCGATAGGGAAATACGGCGATCGGGAGGGGGTCCGGGGGCGGAGCCCCCGATAGGAAAATACGGCGATCGGGAGGGGGTCTGGGTTAGGTTAGGTTAGGTTAGGTTAGGTTAGGTTAGGTTAGGTTAGGTTCATTTTTCTACTTTCTTTATCATTTGAATTACGATTCTTGGCTCGGGTTTTTCATTTTTCCACTTTCTTTATCTTTTGAATTACGATTCTTGGCTCGGGTTTTTCATTTTTCCACTTTCTTTATTATTTAAAATTACTTCATGGAACTTTATTGTTGCTGTTTATTCGCAATCTCATCGATATTCATCCCCCCCCAAAAAAAAACCCCGGTTCCCCACGGGATCCCCCAAGATTGTTGGCTGGAGTTCGGGACTTGGTCTCCGACGGGTGCGGTCCTTTTATAAACAATTACCATTTTTGTTAAAATTTAATTGTGGTTGTGTCTTCTACATTCAATATACTATCTGTTTTGCATGAAGATGTATTTTTATGTCACATCACAAATTTTCAGACCTTAGAATTGCTGTAAGCTTTTCCTTTGATTAGATTTTATATATTTTGAGTTCTGCTATGTAAGGTTAAGGTTTAAGTTCATGTCATTTTTGTTTATGCATTTTTAAATACATTCTAATATTCATAAAATCTTCTACTTTCAGGTAAAAAATAAGAAATTGAGAACAGGTGAAAAAGTTGATCTACAACACAAATTTGAAATAAGTAACCATGTTGAAAAGTTTAAGAATATTACAGTCTTGTAAAGTTGTGTACTTGAAAAATTACATTCAAATTAACAAGGTTATTCCCAGAGCTGCATCCTTTGTGCAGCATTTGGACTTGCTTCGCTGTTATGGCATCAGACATTCTCATGTTCCATTTGTTGAAGAAGATACCCTGAGCTTCAAAATATTGGAACATATGAGAATTAATGATAAATATGCCACTGCCCTTACTAAGGAAAAAAATTTGTCGGAAAACTCGTCAGAAACCAGTCAGGCTATTAAGCAGATGTTACTTGTCATAGCTCATAATCCTGATGTTAAAACATCAGATATTCTTCATTTATTTTCCTTATATGCTTCATCTGGACGTTTTATATCCCAAGATATAATATCAAACAAGTCATTGATGTCCGAGGCAAAACACAAGATTTTACAAAGCTTTCCTTGGATGACAGAAAATGAACTGAAGAATTTAGCCTACTTGTTAAAGGAATTAGAATTTGAGAAAAGTGGATATTTGCAGTATCTGGTTAAAGGAATTAATGAAGAATGTTTAAAAAGAGCCTTAGCAAGTGATCTTCCTGAGAGTCTCAGACTGTTTGATATCCTCTTGATTCTCCATGGTAACAGAATTTACAGGAAAAGAGAATATGACACTTTTTTATCATTGTTTGAAGCAAATGTAGACACAGCTCATCCTCATCATTTAGTTCAAATTTTGCATTATATAGGTCTTGCCAAGAAAAGGAAGTTGTCAAAAGAATTCATTCTGCTGATAATTGGGAAACTGGATAAACATTTGGATGATCTGACATTCAGAGATCTTGGAATAGCAGTGGCTGGCATATTCAAATCCAATATCAAGCTTGAGAGAACGTCAGCCTTTGTTAAAAAAGTTGCAGATCATATGAAAAATAAAATAAAAGACTCTGTATTGCTTACAGATATTGAAACTTATGGCCTTGTTTCTATGATCAAACTTCTCCGTGTGACAAGATTCCATGACGATGATCTTTTGTCTGCTGTCAAATCTTTTGTGATGAATTGTGATGAAAGTGTTCTGAATGCTCAGATTGTTCCACACATCTTGGCAATGTTCTCTAATTGTAATGTTTATGATGAAGAGATCTTTGATAAACTAGAAAATCAGGTTCTTAAACTCATTAGAGCCGAGTCACACGAGTTAAGGATGAGGGACCTTACAAGGGTGCTTTGGTGTTTTAGTCATGTAGGTCACAAGTGTAGTCCTCTAACATTAGAGGTGTTTGATGAATCTTTCATGGAGTTCATTCATAAAGGGGAAGTTGCTAGATCACCATACTTCCTGTCAGATGCTCTCTTCTCCATGGCAATCCTCCAGTATTATCCAGAAGCATTGATTAAGGAAGCATTCAAGCCAGAAATGATTCTAGGACTGAAAGGTTAGACTGCATTTATGCATGTTCATTGTTTTATTTGCGTAATATTTGAGTGTTTGGTGTTTTATATTGAGTAATAATATTTATTTGAAAACTAGTGTTTCTATTGATTTGAGATCTGGATGTCCATTTCAAAGAAGTTTTCATATCTGTCTGTTAGAACTTTTTTATAATGATATATTTTAATACATATATCGTGTACCATTTTCTTTTATTGATACAGGGCATCAGAAGAGTAAGCAGTTATCCAGATTGCTTATATTACATGAGTGCCTGAAGACAGAAGTCCCTACACTGAGAATGGAACCACCTGTAGTGGAGAAGTTTGAAATACCAAGTAGAACTCTTGCAGATGAACTCCAACATCGCCCACATATTAAGAAGTTAAGTGAAGGGGCTAAGTGGATTAATTCAGTTGTTGGAAGAACAGTGTTGAAACTCCAGTTCCCAATACCATATATAAATTATGCTAGTCTGACTACAGATTTCAAGCAGCTGAAGGGTGAAGATTCTGAAAGTGGTACATATGAAGATACACAGCAAATACATATTTTTCAACAGCTGTCTAAAATAAGAGATGTTCAGGATAATAAAAACATTGTTGTTGAAGTTTTAGATTTACCATCATTACTGAAAGGGACCTCAGAGCCAGTTGGCCTTCTTAGGCTAAAAATACGTCTCCTAGAACAATTAGGTTGGGATATCAGGTATATCACTAGTTTGGAAGTGGAAAGTTGTGGTGATGATATTCAAGGGTTAGGAGCTCTATTGTTAGATAAGATAAATTTGCATCACAAAACATAAGAGACCAAGTAATTTTGTAGATATTTTAAAATGTAGATATGATGATCTTATACTCTGAATTTTATTTATTATTTGTTTTCATTATGTACATGATTTGATAAATAGAAGTTTTTGTTTATAATGATTTATTTTCCAGGTCAATTTTGTAAATAAAAGAAAACAAGCATACTGTGTTTATGTTACCAGATTCCTAAAGCAGAATGTTATAAATTGATAAACTCATTCTATGCAATGTGACCCACTCAGGTCATGATATATCTTATTTTGTGATGTGGCCTACCTTGGAATTAGAAATTCATACTTGTCGTAATTTTTTGTTTTAGTAATCTGTTTCCAATTCCATGCTGCTTAGATATTGCTTTATAGAAGTTTAAGTATTTAGTCAACACAGATATGATAATATATATTTTAAAGATATGACAACACAGTATAAAGAAAGACTACTATTATTGTTTTAAGAAATCATCATATATAGGCATATATACATATACACATATATATATATGATAAAATGTTTTCTTTTTAAAAGCTTTGATATTACAGAATACTATTAATAAAACATTGCAAACATTCTGAAGCACAACAGAATTGGTTATGAGCCTATTCCCACTTGTGAACTTTTCTCCAGACCCATTAGAAGATTTTCACATATTTTTCTGTTTTTTTGTAAATGTAGAACCTTGACTATGATTCTCCATTGAGGCCCTCTGAATTGGGGTTGCATCACAAACATAAGTTTTGTTGTTGATGGCACGGGTTTTGCCACATGAAAATATTTATCTT